TTCTAAACTGTAAACTGTAAACTTACATTTGATATTTCTTTGGTTGCAATAAGTTAATAAGAATAGATCTAGTTGCCTTTAATTTTGTATTGCCCAAGTGAGTTTGCCCTTTAAGCTCTTTAAGTTCTCTGGCCACTGCTTCTGCACAGCCACACAACGTCACCTGCTGTGTGTCACCTTTCAAGGGCTGCGAATAGACGTCATGCTGCCGTTTTGGTCAACAGCTATACCCATTTTGGTTTCAGCCATGCTGTTACTTTTCTTTGTCTGTTTGCCAAGCATTCACACGCGCTACGCACACACAGAGAGAGAGAGAGAGAGAGGGAGAGACACACACACACACATATGCACACATCATATATAGAGCATTTTGTGTAACTTGTGCTGGAATGTGTTTCATTGGTTCTATGCCCTGTAATTTAAGAAGGACATTTCTCGGGTAGCATATACAGTAGGGCTCAGTTATAACGACTCAATTTGTAAAGTTCATATGGCTATTGCAAAGAAAATTCTGGTTCTCAAAAGGTATCTTGAGCATCGGCATAACCGGATTCTATTGCATATTTGTAGTACACACACCTATTCACACTCGGGCAAAAGTCAGGATTTGCTTAAATATATAGCATCAGTTGCTTTGAAACATTTTACAGGGTATTTGCCAGCATTGAGCATTCCTTTTTTTCCCTTATTTGCTGCAGGTCAACAAACAAGCTGCAGGTTTTATTTCGTTGCTGCACTCTGCTGCTGCTGCTGCTGCTGCTACTACTCTTCCCGGATCATTTTTTGGTCGATGGCATTGACAGTTTTGCTCTTTGAGCGTGTTTTTGCCTGGCTCAAGGCAGCACTCAAAGGCTCTAGAGCAATGTAATTCCTCTGCCTAATACTTGCTCTTGAGCCATGTAATTCCTGTGCCCCCCCCCCCCCCCCCCCCCCCCCCCCCTAGCTAGCTATCAAGAGAGAAAGAGCTGAGACGGGCAGAGGGGATAATAAAGCTGGTGTAAGTGCATCCAAAGCCGACAATGCGCTGGCAAGTAATGTGCGCCTTTTGCGGCTGCAGTGCGTGCGCCGGAAGCCATTGCGGGTTAAGCACGCACCAGCAGCAGGAAGCACCACTGACAGTCTTGGGAAGGAAGTCAGATGGGCGACGCTGGGCGTGACGTGGCAGGTAGCGGAAACGCGCGTCGCGACACTTTATGACAGGTTGCGAGCTGGCAAACCCCAAAGCAAACCAACAGCAAATACAAAAAAAAAAAAAAAAGACCTTAGCTACTTGCATGAGCTGCGCGCAGTGGGGCAACAAAGGGTTAAAGGGCTGCTTCAGCCTGTCAGGCATTAGGAATGCATTGTCTGCGTGTGCAGTTCATTTCGCCGCGCGCTCACTGCTCTACAGTATCTAAATCAAGTCTTTTGTTGTGGGCGTGCCGGGGGCGGAGTGAAGAAGGTAGAGCATTTGAAGGGCTTCCAAGTGGAGGGCTGCCTATGTGTGTGTGTGTGTGTGTGTATCTTCTTACAGGCCTGATAGCTAAACTACCCCGTTTGGCCCTCCGACGTCTTGGCCGACAAATTAGCGCGTGTATTCGTTATTTACGTTTTTTTTTTTTTTGTGTATTTTTTGTTGTCTGTCTGCCTGTGCATTTCAGTTTGGTTTGCAGCGCACAGCCGGCAACAGTGACGGGTTTTTCCACGCGCTGCCACAAAAACGTTTCTTGCCACTTGCCACTTGCCGCAGTTGCAACATCTACAACAATACGAAAGTACAATTTATGTGTTGCCAAGTGCAAATTTTGCTGCCAAAACTTGCACGCAAATTGAGTTTGTTTCACAACTAAGTTTGTGGCATTGCGCGTGTGTGTGGGATCTGTGTGTGTGTGTGTGTGTGTGTGAGTGTTAACTTGACTTGTCCTGATAACAGCAAACAGTTGACAAAACATGAACTACTTGGAATCCATGCTATGGTAAGCAAAATTTCCCAAAATGATTTCATCTGCTTTAACCATAAAAGAAGGAAACCTAATTAATTATACACAAGTGAAGATTCTATAGAATTATTATGAATGTCTTGATAATGTTTATTCAATTTGCAAGCTAGTGTATTTCGCTGTTTTTTATTGAATTCTTAAAATTTAGAATTTAGTTGCCTAAAGAACGCAAGTTGTGGAAGAAGGTCTTCAGAAATGTTTTAGACTGCAATCAATATTTGAGATTAGAAAAGCGAAAACTTAGTTGAAAAATAATAAAAAATATAATATCAAATACACAGAAGAAATTATGTTTCACTTAATTTTAGTACAAGTTCAACCTAAATGCATAATTAGACTTTAATGAAATTTGCTCAGCTTTAAATTAATTCACAATATTCAAATATGAATTACAAGTTTTATATGAAAAATATATGTAATCGGTTTAGTAATTATTTGTTTAATAACAGCGCACAGTTGAAGTAAGTTCCGTAATGACAAAACTGTAGAAAATTCTATTAAAGCACTTAATGCAGCCATAAAAGTTTGCACATAAACAGAAGCCATGGGCCAGTGGCCCGTGTTGCTGCCCTTCCCTGCCCGTGCCCTCTCTGGCTTAGGGCAACTGTCCAACTTCAGAGCTTAGATGAAACTCCATTATGACAATTTTCGAGTGCCTAACTGGGCTTTGCGGGCTCTATGCGCCTCGAGCACCTACGCAACATATAAAAATAATTTCAAAACTTTTGCAACTTGAAAATAATGTATATGCACAATGTTGCACGTTTTCCCCATTGCCGCTGACCTCAAAATCTGTGCAACATTCTAATCTAAATGCAGATGACAATATATATATACATATATACATACGTATACAAATATTCTCAACAAGTATTTAAGTATGCTCCGAGGAGAAATTATGTGCAGAGCAGAAAAATGTTGCCTACATTTCTGGGCTGCCAAAAAAAAAAAAACAGCACAAGGAAAATGGATTTTTTGCTTGGTATTGTTTTTATTTTCTGTTTTCTTTGGCAAATATTTGCGCTCGTCATTTCGCTTTGGCCACGTTCCGAATGGGGTTGGGCCTTAGCTCTCTCAAATGATGTGGAAAGAAATCACATTAATGGCAGCCGTGCGACCCAAAAAGTATTTACGGCCAAATTTGGCCGCAGAGATCTACACACACACATACACACACTCACAGTGGGCCAATTAAAGCTTAATGCGTTACAGTGCCAAGTCGTTAATGTGCCACGTGCAACGTGCAACGCGCAACGCGCCGCCATTTTTAATTTATGCGCCTTGCGCCTACAAGTATGTAGCATGCAATATGCATGCAACAAAGTGTCGACAAAACAGACGGAGTGACTGCAGTGTCTGCCGGAAGGAGAGGCAGAGAGCGCCTCTGCTAGTGGGCGTTAGCTTCCCTATATCCTGTGCATAAGAGAAGTGAACAGAACATAGGGTATATGCCAAAGGTTCATTCTGTGTGTTCTTTAATAAGTGATACTATCTCCCTCTCTATCTCTCTCTCTCTCTCTCTCTCTCTCTCTCTCTCTCGCTCTCTCTCACTCTCTCTCAATTTTAAGACATAGATTAGCTGATTTACATTTACAATACATTCTGTAGGTTCTTTAATAAGTAATACTATCTCTCTCTCTCTCTCTCTCTCTCACTCTCTCTCGCTCAATTTTAAGACATAGATTAGCTGATTTAGTACTCAACTGGAATAATTTACAGGGCATTCGCTAGTTGTTCACACTCATTAAGAGGCCTAACAGCATCAGGCGTTGCACGGTCTTTTGTCTCCAGCTGTATTCCTTGTGCTCCTCGTGGGTGAGAGTGTGACTGTGCGTGTCTGTGTGTGAATCTATATGTGTGTAATTTATGTAGGTCTCGCGCCGAAAAAACTGCCCACAAATTAGACAGAATTTTATAATTTGCGGCTGGCTGACTGAGGAATGTGTATACGTGCATATGCATGTCTGTGTGTGTGTGTATTTTTCCTGTCTCAGTGACAGCACCTATCAACCAAAATGTAGGTAAAACTCAGATGCCAAAGCAGTTGAAAACAAACCGAATGCTAGTAAATAGTTTAATATTTAACATGAATGTTTAAGCTAGAGCGAGCTTTGCTGTCTTTTACTCAATATTGGCGACAAATCTTTCTAAAATATCTTTTTAAAGATACTTACATGCCTTCTCATAAAAAATTTTTATAATTATTGGAAGATGTATGGGCTCTTTCTATACTAAATCAACCAACTCAATCAAGATATATGAATTTTATTCATTTTTCTTAACTTTTATAAATATTATCTTTTTTATTTCAATAGTAAACTTGTTATTATATTATTAAATTATATTATATTTAATCGAGGCGTTGAAAATTAAAGCTAAATATTCTTCATATCAACAGGGAAATGGATATAATTATGATTTTGAGTAAATCAAGCGTAAATAATAAATGAAAATCTACTCAATACATATATGTAAATGTATGTATGTAAAGGCAGACGACTACAATAGCCTTTAAAATTATATTTATTTAAATTAAATATAAGATTTAAAATGTAATTCTTGTGAAAATCTGTGAATTGGATTTGAATATTATTAATTTGGTAGCATATTGAAAACTTGAGAATCATATGCACAGTCACTTAGCATTAATTAAGTGAAGCATATTTTTTTTTTGTAGTTTTTTACGAGAGCTTTGCTAATAATTTTGTATGCACACAAAATGCGAGGCAAAAACTAGTTTTGCAAGGGTTTTTGGTTTTTATTTTGTTCACAAGACCGTTGCAAGTTGTTTTTGTTGTTTGCCATTTTGCTATGCCTGTAACTGGCATGAAAAGCATTTTACACATGGTAGCATTTTTTAATTTTGCAGCGCAGCTTTTAGAAATACACACACACATATACATACACAAACACACGTGCACACACACAAATGGACTTACTAATTAGAAATAAAAATGCGCGCTGCGCTTTTGCTCATTACGCTGCTGTAGTTGTTGCTCTCTTTTTACCATGCCACATGCCACATGCCGCATGCCGCATGGCACATTGAATGCTCAGCTGCCTCTATGTCGCTGGCCCCATATCATAGGGCGGTCTCGCCTGGGTCTCGAAATAATAAACTCCCTCGCGCTGCGCCAGCTGCTCCATGGATAGTGTGCCCAAATCTCCGCCCATGTGGAGCCGGCTGCCCGTTGGCTGGGGGCAGCGTTTATGGCGCGTCAACTGCTGCCATTCGCCTGGCTGACAGCCCCTGGCCTCGAAAGCCGTCCCCTCCAGGCTCTCCTTGAAGAGCGCAAAGGCACGCCAGTGGCTGCACTCGTGCCAGAAGCAGCCCGGCTGCTGGCTACCCCAGTTGGCGTAGAAGTCGACGTGGCCCAGCGGACGATCGAATCCATAGCTGCCCACGCTCGTGTGCAGCACCTCAACGTAGCTGGCATCGTTGCGGCTGAGGCGCTCCTTCTCCTGGGCGTAGCGAAAGAAGGGCAGGGCCGGATCCAGGGCGCGTATCACACGCACCTGACCGGTCTGCACGTGCTTGGCGGCCAGCCCGGCGATATGGGCGCCCATGCTGAAGCCAATCAGCTGGAGATCCTCAAACTGCATGCCCGCCTCCACGTGCAGAAAGTCCAGAAACTTGGCCAGCACCTGACCCACGGGCTTCACCCTATAGCTGGCCGTTATATAATCAGCGATGGCACCACGTCCCCAGTCGACAGTGAAAATATTGTAGCTGCCATCGCTGAGCTTCAGGTAAGCCGGCACCAGATAGCTGTAGACATTGGCATGGGCATTGCCCAGCCAGCCATGGATTATGATTCTGCGAAAGCGAGAGAAAGAACAGTTAGTTTGGTATAAAATAATAATGAAATTAAAATTAATGTTGAAGAAAAGGAAGAAAAATCTATTTAAATAAGATACAACTTTTAGTTATAAAAAAAAATAATAATAAATAAATTTTAAAAATATATATATAAAAAAATATTAAAAAAAATATTAAAAAAAAATTAAAAACAAAAATTTTTTTTAATTATAAAAAAAAATTTATATATAAAAATATTAAAATATATATATATATATATAAAAATGTAAAAAAATATAAAAAATAGATAGATAGATTAAAATAATAAAGATAATGAAAGGAAAGAAACTGGACAGCTTTAAATCATTAATAAAAGCTTTATAAAGTCACTCTAAACTGAGTGAAAATGTCATGTAAATGCACGGATTATGATTCTGTGAAAACCAGAGAAAGAGCAGTTAATTACTGGTAAATATTAATCGTAATAAAATAAAAATATATATATATTAAATAATTAAAAAAGAAACTCAAAAACTGGACAGCTTTCCATCATAAATAGTCAGTGTAAATTGAGTGAAAATGTCATGTAAATGCAACAGCACTTACACACACCCACACACACCCACACACATTGTGGCATGCATTATTCATAGCTTACCGCGTGGGCTGGAAGGGATTGAAGTGTGATTGCCGCAGCGAGGCGGCATCGTAGAGCCTCACCGTTTGCGTGGTCAGCTGCATGATTGACTCCTTGGCGTCGTTGACATTCAGGCCGAAGGCAGCGCTCAGCTTGTTGCCAACGTACTGCTGCAGCAGGCGATTACCATTGGATGGTCCGCTCGGGCCACGCCCACTGTTCGAATGCAGCTGAAAGTAGGTCTGTCGCTCGGCATTGTATAGTAAATTGTAGTCCTGCAATCGTAATAGTTGCTCATCACCGGCCATTGGGCCAGTTGAGTTGTTGTTGCTGTTGTTGTTGTTGGTGAAATTATGTCTTTCCGATATTGGCAACACAGCGGGTGTCATTAAGTTCATGCTGCTGATGTCCTGGTTAGATGTCCTTACGATTTGCATGCCTGCATGGCTGGCCTTGCTCTTTTCATTTGCATTTGGCTGCAGTCTTTCGGCTGCTGCTTTCGCCCTCATCACGGCACTTTCCACTTCATTTGTCACTTTTACTTGCACTGCGGGTCCTTGGGTGGCCAGCAGCTCCGCCACCACCCGCAATTGATTGTTGTCTGCACCGAGTTGCTCTGCTGCTCTGTAATCAGCATACGAGTAGTTGGATGCCTCAATCCGCCTCTTGTATCCATTTCGAAATCTGCCCGGAGATTTGGCCTCCTGCTGCCATGCAGCTGCAGTGTGCCACAAACAAGCTGGCAACGAAATGAAAGTGCATTAGACGAAACTGGAGCAAAGTCTATGTTTTATATATACGTAGATGTTGGGCTAAGTACTCCCGAGTTGATCAATGATAATCACCTGACTGACAAATGCACAGCAGCCCAAGTAGAAGCATTTCTCTGTGTGTGTGTGTGTTCCTTTTTTTTGCCCACTTCTTAAGATACTTTTTGTGTAGCTCACGAACTCATTATTTCTGATACTTTTGAGACGCGTTTTCAAGAACTAGCGAACTACACGGACGAACTCGCATTAACAACTGACTGGAAACTTTTTCTCCATCTCTGCGACGCTCACTCATAATTTGCTTAAAGTATTTCTTTTTTTTTGGCTCTGTTTGTGTAAAGAAACAAAATAAAAAGAGGAAGCTATGAATGTGCAAGAGCGTACTTATTTTACTAGAGTTGTTAGTTGAATTTCGATACCCTAACAATAATTAGTTGAACATTAAATATGTCATTCACTTTGTGTAATATCAGTTATCTCTCTAAAAAGAGAGTAAACTAAATTACGCAATTAACTGTAAATATTCATTATGGGACTATTCAAGTGTATGCAAACTTCGGCTTGTCACCGGTATTAACATAGTTGTTATGCTTAACAAGCGGATATTATTGAAGACTTCGGGCGAAAGAAAAGAGATAAATAAATAATAAATACGAAATACCGTTTGCTCTCACCTCTGCCCACTTCATTAACCGTTAATCTGTTGAGTCAATAAAAGTTCAGACCCAACATGCGATGTGCCACTGACCAAGTTTTGCTTCTTTTGGCCTTAGTACTTAGCACATACTTTTTTTGGCCACATTTTGGGATAGGTCAATGCACCAACGTGTCTGTGCTTGCACTGTCAACGTCTACGACGAACGCGCTGTCTCAGCTTTCTAGACTAGTCGCGGCAAATCTTTTGAAAATACCGTAAATAAATTGAAACAGTGGAAAATTGAAAATATTTATGATATATTCTTAATATGGGAATTAAATTTATAGCATTTTTTTTATTACATTCAACTTATAATAAACTAAGATTAAATACATATTTTTTATTTATTTTATTAAATATCTATCTTAGCTTTATTCAAGTGTATTAATTAAATTTTGTATATATTTAAAAAAAAAAAAATGGCTTAGCCGTAAAAATACGAGTTTATCATTAGAAAATATCAAAATCTCATTCAAATATATATATAATTATATGTATGTGTACATGTGTATGCCTTCGTTCAGTCACCCATAATATTTTATATACACGTTTAATAAACCATTTCGAATTTTATGCCGTGCCGTTTACGAGAAACGTATTCTAATCAATCTTAATATATTCTCTCTTATTATGTTGCAGGTAAGTTCACACATGCCACAAGCAAACATGACGACATGCGATGTGGTGGAAGGGAAAAAACAATATTAAAAGCTGACAGCTGAAAGCTGAACCAGTCGCCATTTTAAGGACGTGCATTTCCTGCGGCTGAATCATATTGTGTTTAGGGTGGCGAAAGCAGCTAAACGACGGAGCCCCACGCATTGGGGAAGATGAAAACAATGTGCATTTTTTATTATCGCTGATCGTATAACAGACAAAAAACGTGACGAAAACAAAAAGAAAATGTATGCAGAAAAAAAACAGAAAACAGATAAGAGTGCGTGTCGTCCAAAGCCCAAACTCAGGTAACGAAGCATAAAAAGTAACCGAATATCGCGCGAAAGAAAAAAAAAAAACAGATTCTCTACGCGTTCCGCTTTTTTTTAACTCTGCCCTATCTCTCTGTGCGGAGGAGCAAGCGCAATCCTTGAAACGAGTTGCCCGAGTGCACACTTGACAATTTTGCTGCATAGATAGCAACATTTATTGAATATGTTGCAGGGGCAACATTATTATTTTATGTTAAAAAACGATAGGGAAAGAAGAAGAGGAGCCCACTCCACATGAGCTGGCTGCAGATGATGGCTCAGCAGAATGCGATAGGCTGCAAGTTCAATGTACAATGTTTTGTGAAGCATTCCAGCTAGAGATGTGCGAAACGAAATTTAAATCCTTGCTTAACTGTATTCATGAATGCAGTCAGGACGTGTTTCAAGATTCATAGACTTGTTAAATATACCAAATTATTGGAGAGGTTCAATGCTATTTGAGATCTATGTTATTTAAATAGTTGTTAAATAAAATTCATTTGAAGATTTCATATAAAATATAAGATATGTATTTATCAATATCAATGACATAACTCAGTCACATTATTTTTTGCAGAGATCATATTTTATATCATTTATATTATGATACAAACTATACTTTACATAGTAGTACAATATTTCGTTGCATTTCAATAATCCGTCTTTATCTGTAAAAAATTCCCTGTAAGCCTAAAAGTTACAGAAGTTATTTAAACGTAAATTGAAAAAAAGAATATATAACCACACATAAATTCAATCAAGCTCAGTCGTGACACGATAGATAACACGATTTGAGGATTGCTGCTGTGTAGTCATAGCTGTTGCTGTTGCAGCTTGCCAGCAGCAATTGTTATTGCAGTTGTTGTAAGGCAACACTCAGACAGGATTTGCGACAAACAATGCGCGTTTGCCATAATCGATTAAAAAGCGGCTGTAAAGGAACAACAGGCAACAACAGCAGCAGCAGCAGGAGCAGCAGGAGGAGGAGGCACGCGACCGTAGCAGGAGACTGGGCTCGAGGGCTTGAAGCTGAAACTGAGAGCTGGGGGTCAGCGTTCTCTTTGTTTGCTCTCTGCTTATGCTTCTCGTATAGCTGCAAGCTCAAAAATGTCACTCGAGTGACTTTTATTACATTGTACCACGCCTCCTTTCCGTTCACACACATACAGAGAAAGCGAGAGAGAGAGAATCCTTTCCATGTCTATGACGATGCCACGGCCTACTCACATACAGGCTGGACTATTTGCCCGCAAAATACTTGAGTCGAGGCTTGGTGTCAGCATTTAGCAGACAAGAGCCTTAACGGATTATGAGAGAGAGGTCGGGTTGGGTTGGGTATGGGTGTCGGGTTTCGGGTCTTCCACTATGCGGCTGAAGCATTTCTTGAGCACCTCTTCACTTTTGCATCCTGCGACTTTGAACAGGATGCGTTTATGCTCGCACTGCGACTACTTATCTTAGCGCTTAGAGCTGACTCAGCCATTGCCTACACTTTGTGGTTCTTAGAGGAAGATATGTAAACAATAAGCCCCATAGCTGATTGAGGCCAAAATCTGTGACAAAATTTGCTTACACATGTTATCAAGCTTCAAGCCATCAATTTTGTTTGCGAATGAGTTGAATTTCGGGCTTAACAAATGAACTATGTAATTTTGAAATCACTATGAATATTTATAGGTAAATAACGCATTAAAATGAACTAAATTCGAAATTGTGGAAACAATTTATGTATATTAAAATACCTTTTCTGCAAAATATAATGGTATATATGTATATATATAATTCAGCAGCTTCAACTCCGATGAAATTCTCTAACATTAAATATTAATGTTGTTTAACATATAAAGTTAACTGTGCAAGGACTTCTTGCTGCACTGCTTGGTAATAATAGAACTGCTTGACGTCGTGCATTTTATAGCAGTGCAGAAGTGCGAAGCAGCTCAAAGCTTTCGGCTGACAAATAGCGCAGGACAACTTTCATTTAACATTTCCTTAAAGCTCTCTAGGCATAACAGCCAAAAAGCTTTGCGTGCTGTTACATCTCCAGCAGTTTTACAGAGTTGAAAGCTTGTGCATTTGTCTCGCTCGACTGACCCACTTCAACATGACTAAAGTAGCCAAATTATGTTTTTGGGCAGCTTTTGGGCAGGCGTGAAAGTTTTGAGTTTGCACGGGCGCAGCCCTTTCAAATGCCTGTGACTCGTTAGGGACTGGCATGTGTTTGGGCATGTATCCTTGGGCCATATTAAATTCAATTAGGCGACGTCGGCCGTTGAGTTGAGGCGACAAATTCCACCCAAAGGCCGAAACGAGTTCGTTCGTTTTCGACAATTGGTAGTCAACAACATATAAATAAGTAATAGTTGACAAGTATTTTCCTTAGCCAATTGCCAGGCACAATTCGCATGTGTGTGTGTATGCGTGTTTCTTCCTGTTTGCTGAGTCGTACGGCTTAGCGCTGTGCACATCCTGAGGCTGTTTTGCATGTAAACGAGCTGCTGCTTCAGTTACTCTAAGCATATCCGTGCACACGCACAGGCGTTCACAGCTTATTAGCTTTTGAGGTGCTTGGCTGCCACGCCCACGCAACTTTTGTCGCTCCTCTTAATTAACGAAATTAACTGCAGCTCTAGAAGATCCCGCCTGTCGCCCACCCCAGCCCCAATATGAGAGCCATGCTATTGTAGCAGCTCCCATTCTGCTCATCTTTATAAATGCTGCCATTTGGGACTTACACGGTTCTCTCATTCTCTCCTTCTCTCCCCCTCTCTTTCACACTGCCTCAAAATGTTAAGTGGTTGTGCAGTCCTCACATTCCAGCCGTTGTTGTCCTTTTTATGCACTTTCAAGCACTTAATAAGCTGGCAAAACCACCGACAATTTGCATGAGAAGGTGAGCTTAAGCTGGATGTAATGCGGACACACCTGCATTCACTTTAACCCTTGAGCTCTCCATCCATTTACACCCACACATGCACACTCTGACACACACCTTCGCCAAGATTGACGTCATGTCTGCCATTTTGTCATTCATTCCATCATGTGTGTCATATGTGCATTAGCATTCTGCCGATTGCGTGTGTGTGTGTGCCAACGCCGGCTACAACAGTTAGCATTTTCTTATCCGAGTATATATATATATGAGTATATATATATATCTATACATGTATGTGTATATTTTTAGGTCAACGTAATTTCCTCACGTTTTCCTGTCTTTCTCATTTCACATTCTTAGCAACGTCTGCTGGCGCCTTCGATCCTTCCACTTGAACAGTTGTCGTTGCGGTTAATCAGCAAATGCTTAGAGGAAGCCACACAAATGGGGTCGATTGGTTAAGCTATTCAATTTGAGAGTGATCGATAGAATATTTCTTATATAGGGTGCAACTGTAGGATACATAAGAAAACAGTAGAACAACTTAACAGAATAATTTAAATAAAAGTAAT